ATCACTACAGCAACGAAAAACGAATTTGACAGAGGACTCTTGTTTCTTTTCCCAGCCCTGGTGTGGTTGCCCTGGATTCACCCAAAGCTGCCGATGCAGCAAGTACATGTAGGAAATTATCTGAAGTTAAACTTTCAGACAGCTTTCCGCTGCCCACTCCAGCTTGGCCCTGAGATTGTCTGAAAGATATTTCCTTCCCAGTGGCTGGCACTCAATTCTAATTTTAAATTGAGTTGCAAATCTAGATGACTAACCAGCTCCAGGAGAAAACTTCCAAGGGGCATTTATGAATCAGCAGTTGCAAGGACTCTCAGGAATGCATTCACTTTTCATAAACTCCTTGGTGTCAAGATATAAACTTGGTGGGGGCTGGATCCTCATCTGCTCTTAGGTGTCAGTAACAGGAGGACTTTAATTCACCTTATTTGCACCAAAAACGAAAGTAAACGCAGTGTTTGTCCCTCCCAAGTTTGCATTTTGCAGGTGTTCTGCTCCTTTCCTGTGCAGAAAGGAGGGAAATGAAATCCCTGGAATGCTCTGGAGAGAAGGCCACAGCAGCTGATATTCACAGATGACAACCCTAAAAAGGAGAGGGGAAACTGAGTAGTGTATCAGCCAATGCAGGTGATGCACTCTACAAAGGACAACATTTACAGATTCTCCAGGGAACTGGGGAACTAATCCACTTAGCAAAAAACTTTCAGTCCTCATTTAAAGGCAGACAAACTAAATTTTCAACCACAAAATTAATCTGCATCGCGGTGAATTCACTGGGGAAAGCAATACCAAATCTAACCTAGTTTTGTGTAGTTTTGGTCAGTTCTTGTGTTTGCCGCAGAAACGACAATTACCACAAAGCCAAGTGGCTCCTACATAAAGAGGTGCCAAGTGCCACAGGAGAAATTTTAAGCTTTCCCTTCGGTGTATCTTGAAGTCTACAGACTCTGGGTGTGACTTGGTGATGGAGAAAAAAAGATTCAGGAGATACAACATCTGTCCTCTTCCCACATCTGCACCAAACTCCACGACACATGATACACATGAAACAAAACCCAAGTCTGGTGTCCACCTCCACAGCCACCACCAGACCCAGAATTTGTTTTTTCAGGCTTCACAAACCCCATGGACTCAGTGGAGCTGAAAACTGAGTCGCTTCACTCTCATTATCCATATTGATATTTAAAATACATGGATAAATGGCTTTCCTCACTTGCACCGAGAGCTTCCTCATGTAATAAATACACGGTAAACACTGGAGAGGTACTGAATTATTATTATTATTCCTATTCCCATTTTGCCTATGAGAAGGCTGGCAGGCAGCAGGACCCTAATTGCACAGTGCAATTGTGCTTACCATCCCATTCCCTTCTTTACTTGTCACTGTAAATTCCCTGGTGTAATTTAGTGGTTCTCCAAACACTGTTCTGACTGGCACCACCTCCCTGTGGTCAGTGAGGACTTGCCCAGAGCTTCACAGTTGGTCTGCACCTCCTTTCTCAGTAGCAGCAGGTCTGAGCCTGTCAGCACTGTCTGGCTGTGTGAGGAAATCCCAGTGTCTCGTTGGTCTCACTGACCAGCAGAAGATGCCTGGGAGGATGGGACAGGGGGATAGAGTCGGAGAAATAACGGTGTGAAGGGTGCTCAGACACCTGAAGGACTGAGGTGTGGGGGGAGGTGGAGGTTGTGCCAAAATCACATCCCTGGAAGGGATTCTGCAGAGCCCCCAGCGCAGGGAGGACAAGGAGCTGCTGGAGCGAGTCCAGAGGAGGCCACGGAGATGCTCCAAGGGCTGGAGCTCCTCTGCTCTGGAGCCAGGCTGGGAGAGCTGGGGGGATTCACCTGGAGAAGGGAAGGCTCCAGGGAGACCTGAGACCCCCTAAAGGGGCTCCAGGAGAGCTGGAGAGAGACTTTGGACAAGGGACTGGAGGGACAGCACAAGGGGGAATGGCTTTAAACTGACAGAGGGCAGGGTTAGATAAGATACTGGGAAGGAATTCTTGGCTGTGAGGGTGGTGAGGCCCTGGCACAGGTTGCCCAGAGAAGCTGTGGCTGCCCCATCCCTGGAAGTGTCCAAGGCCAGGTTAGACAGGGCTTGGAGCAACCTGGGATAGTGGAAGGTGTCCCTGCCCATGGCAGGGGGTGGAACTGGATGATCTTAAAGGTCCCTTCCAACCAAACCACTCTGGGAGTCTGTGATGGGCAGCAGCCACTTGTTACTGGTACCTGAACATCTCCTGGCACCCCCTCTGGCACTACAGGGAGAAGTGTTAGTCCTGCCCTGGTCTGAGAGATAAAAGCAAGATTCTGCAGTCGGGAAATCACTTTTCCATTCTGGACATGCAAAACTGCATGTGTTACTGCATGTTACATACATGCTGTATGTGTTACAGCAGGGAACATGCTGTATTTGGGCAGCTGTAACCCAGATCTTAAGGTCTTATTTTGGACATATGACAAACTGCAGCACATTTGATGAAAGTGGAAAATAAAAATTCCAAACAAATTGACGTTGTTTAAATAATACACTCTATTTTATTTTGTCTTAAAATAGTTTAACCTTTATTCTACAGACTTGTTTCAAAAAAACAGAAGGTCTCATCTTGCACCAAAAATATATATATTTATATTTATATAACACTCTGTTTTATTATTATTTTTCTCCAAAGACCATTAAATACTAGATGGAAAATGAGAACTAAATAGTGAGTGTTGAGAAGAATCAATTTTTTTGTTTTGTTTTGTTTTTTTTTTTAAAACTAGAGTTGCACATTTTAAACATTTATATTCTAAGCAGTGATTTGTCTTCACTATAGAAGATTCCAAGTTCACACTCCAGCAATTCAGGAACTGCTAAACCCTGAAGGGCTCGAGCCAATGCACACTGAGGTCGATGGAAAGCCCTGCACCGACCCCAGTGGGTTCTGGATCAGGCCCCAAGTGCATTGGTTCTTAGCCATACAATGGCTGACTTTTCTCTTTCTTGCTTAGAAGAGCAAAACCACCCAGGCACATTTTGCTCTTTTTTAAAAAAAATAACAGTTTAAAAAAAAAAAAAGAGAGAGAGAGAGAGAGAAACAAAACCAAACCACTTCCTAACCCTAAGCTATCCAGTGATTGTGTTTTTCAGAGCACTACCCTTTAAAATCTCTTAAGAATACGAGAAAATACGTAGTGTTTTAAATAAAAGAAAACCTGCATCGGACTACAATATGTGAATTGTTTAAACAAACACAGTGCACAAATGGAGGAAGTTTGGTTAGGATGCAGTTGTTTTTATATATACATGGAAGTCACATCATATACAAACTGAAAAAAAACGAGGAGAGTTAGTTTGCATTTTTTCACGGAAGGACTGCAAACGGGTCCCTGCAGCTTTCTTCAAAACTGATCTCCAGGTGACTTTGTGGAACAGGGAGAAGCAGCCACACTAAGCCCCTGTTCCAGAGTTACCTCTACAGCAGGTGTGTGAGCCCATGGAAACGACTGAGGTGCGCGATTAAAACACCGGGAGGAGGGACCAACAGAGAGCAGTGCGGGGGGCTTTTCCCTACTGCACTGCCAAGGGGCTCCATCCACACTCCCCTCCCTCCCAACCCCCCCCCCCCCCCCGAAAGAAATCGGTCACTAGAAGCACCACATACATTTTTCTGGCCATGCAATAATACACTTAATGTTCAATGTTTTAGAAAGCTGGAAGTTGGAGTATCGATCCCTTACCTACTCGTGTTGTAAAGTGCAGTCCAAACTGTTCTGCTTGTGGGGAAAAAGAGATGTTTGTTACTGACTATACCGGGCTGTTTTTCCTTTACGTGACAACACAGGCAGTTCTATTTTTAATTTGTTTTTTTCTGCCCACAGGTAAAACTGTTGGAAGCCAAATAAATCTCAAAACCAGCCAGCACAAAAAGAAAGCAGAACTTCCCGTGTCCTGACCACCCCTGTTCAGCCCTAACTGCTAAAAAAATCTGAAGACAGAGCTGTAAAAAATTCCCACTAAAAACATCCAAAATATGAAGGAACATTTTAATTGCACGAGAGACTTTAAAAGTGAATAATATCATTCTGTTAGAAGTCTAATCTTTGGTTTTTGCCTTGAGAAAGGCTCAAAATGACAGATGAGGGGCAGGAATTTCCATACACACCACAGAAACCACAGCCCACTAAACTGAGTAGTTCCACTGATTTCTGTAAATATTCTGGTAGAAAGAATCTGAATCACGCCCTAAAAACAATTTTAAAACTCGCGTAAGAGGTAAGATTTAAAGCCATATAGGCTAGAATCCTGCAGGGTGCAGATTATTAATTAAACGACAACAAAAAAAAAAAATCACAACTTTAGGTTCCGATTCTGATCCTGCAACATCTTTTAGGACAGTGTTTTAAGCACTTAAGTGGCCCCACGAGTTCTTGGGAACAGTCCCAGCTGAACACCGGCAGCTGCCAGTGCTTTGCCAGGCTGGGGCTTTGGAATTTGCTTGTTTGGTTTTTTTTTTTTCTTTTTTTGAAGTGGTGAATGAAGCAAATAAGCAACAGGAGAAATGAGGACTACGAGCAAAACGTTTAGTTTCTCCATCTCCTCCAGGCAATTCTTGGATAAAGGTAAAAAAGTTCAGCTATAATTAAAAAGGAGAGTGTCATGGTAGAGATAGCTGTGATCGTGTGTATAATGTGTGATAATATTTATTTGTACATTGTAATATATTCCCTTTCCCCCATTTGGAGTCTGGTGTGTTTTTGTTTGAAAAAACCCATCTCACATTAGGCTGAGATGTGGGAGGGGGCTTAGACTAGGGAATTGGATTTTGGGGCTATCTCAAACCATGACGGAGAGGGATGCTGGGCCTTTTTATTACCTTCTCCTGTGCTTTTGCAATAATCAGCTGCTACTAAGTCACTACTATTATTACTGTTTTAGCCATATCAAGCCATGGGAAATGATCAGTGAAACACAGTAGTCAAGTAGACAGAAGATTCAGCACTGAATAAACTATAAATTATACTGAGAATAAAAATGCTTTAATTAAAAGCTGTTCAGTGCATAAGTTATGGGCCATTTGCATTAAAAACAGTCCCTCCTGCTGGTAAAACAACCAAATCAGCTTGTGTATAAACACTCTTGGCCCAGACTTCAGAAGTGTTGAATACCCCCAGTTCCACTGAAATCAGTGAGGACACACCATTTCTCAAAATCACTGATGCTCACACAGCAACACACTAACTTCTACTAACAAACTCAATATTACTGATAAGTTAAAAACGTTCTGGAGTCGGGAGGAGGGGAAGGGAGGGAGGATGTAAGTTTTGCACACAGTTATTTCTTCAGATTAACACGCACACGTTAGTAAACTGTAGATGTGTTTTAAATTCGGTGCTGTTAATCTGAGAGGAATCCCCCTTTGAGAAGGCAAAAAACCCTTTTAAGTCATACTGAAATCGTACTACATTCTTATGGACATGAAAAAGACGTCGTGAGTTTGAATTCCATAGTGCCAAGAACGGGGTGGGGAGGGGGCTCTGAAACTCAAGGTTTAATCATGAACTTCTGTGCCACAAAGGGGAAGAGGGGAAGGGGACGGGGACACAGTGACACGGGATTACAGCAGGAATTTGCGCCTGGTGTCCTCATCCAGGGTGAGGTCCACGACTTCTGGGGGTGAGGACCAGTTCTGCTGGGGAGCCACTGCTGTCCATGACTGTGTTTGCTGGGCGTTGATGAACTGAGAGCTGCGCTTCCAGGAGGACACGCTCTGGATCACACCTCCCCTGGGATGCACACACCTGCAGCAAGGCAAAAAAAACCACAGAGGATTACTGCCACTACTGAATTCAGGCACCAGAGTCGCAGCTGAAGGGTTTTATCACTTAGGCATCTGGTTAACACGTCCCTCTCCAAACTGCCCTCATGGATTTGCCATTTGTAGAGTCCGTGACATCCTAAATGCCCAGGAAACAAAGCTGAGAGTAAATTTAAACTTGGGGGGGGGTGGTGTTAAATTATTTATAAGAAATGGGTTCTGCCAGTGGGTGTAAAGTGATAATCCTTAAAAAGTATGTGCATGGATCCCAAGGATCCTGAAGAAGCCTGCCCCACCGTGTGTAGTACCCTAATTCAGAAGCACAGTGTCCTGCTGGCAGCTTTACCCCCTGGACTTTTAAAAACAGAAATATTTGAAGTGAGGCTGCATGAGACAAAAAGAAAAGCCATCTTGCTATATTAAATCAAAACCGTGTTAAAATAAGGAGTTAGTGATACTTTCGCTACAATAATTGCAAATGAGATGTTGTTAATTACATTATGTCTGATTTTTGTTTTGGTCTTCTTAACTAAAAATTACAACCGTGCTGGGAAATGCTCACTGACAACAGCACAGCCTCACTTCAGGGAAAAATTTAAGCTTTCAGTGATTAAATCATGTATTTAAAGATAAGCACAGGCTCAGGTGCCTCGCTGAAGCAAGATACATAGGTACTTATTTACACATCATTTTTACCTATTATATTCATAGTAGATATGTGACAAATGAAGCAAAAGTTAACAGCAATTAGAAAAAAAGAAAAGCAAAATGAAAGATAGACTAATCTTGCTTCATGTGCTGAAGTGATGACAGGAATTTACAGGAGGCTTTACGATGATCACTCCATTCCCAGCTGTAAAATCTTACACAAGCACCAGTAAAACTCGATACCTACTGCTCCCAAAAATTGTTTTGCTCCTGGTAAGCTCTGGTGGTGGCTGTAGCTGCTCCTGGCTGCACAGATAAATATGAGGTGTTCTGGCAGCTGGGGTAACCTTTTCTCATTTCTTTGTGCATTTCAGGAACTCTAACTTTCTGCACTGATCAAATATCCCTGACATTTACACTTTATTTATTCTCTCCAAAAATACTTAGGTTATGCTCAGCTTTCTTGGTTCTGGTTGGAGTTTCATGAAATAGAATGAAAAATCTCATTCTCTGAGCTGTAACTTCTCTGAATATAAATGCCTCATTGTCTTCTCAGATGCGCTGTTTAGTTTTAGATGTGATGTTCAGAATGGCTTTTTTATTGCTTCTTCAGTCTTAAAAATACATACTTAAAGTATACATCTACAAAGGCTTAGCAACAAGAGATTGGAACTCTAAGAAATGTATGGGATTTCTTTCTTTTAAAGCTTTCTTAAGAAGAAATACTTTTAGGCATAACTGACAAGAAAAGGTTGTAGACAAAGCAAATTAAATATGATGTTTGGTCTCGGGGACTATGGTCCATCACTCTGAGAACAGTCCTCAACACTTAGGCAAAGCCAAGACAAACTTTTCTTCTTGAAGATGACAAAAACCAAGCCATAAATTATCTCGTAGGAATGATATCCCAGAAAAATAAAAGTGTTTATCCTCAAACAAGTCACGTAAGCAGCCAACAGCAAAACGTTCAGTCAAACACGAGCTCAGGGAACATGCTTCCAATCTGCAGCTAAGGGGAGATACCAAGTAAAGGCAACCAAAAAAAAAAAAAAACAACAAAAAAGGTGGTAAAAAAAAAAAAAACTAGGAAAAAAAAATCCCAGGGGAAAACTGTTTTATACACATGCATGATTAAAAATTAAAATCTACTGGGGAAAAAAAAATCAAAAAAAAAACCAAAAACATGACTTGGTGTCCTAAGTAGATGCCAAGTAATATTCCAATGATGAGAAACAGCACCAATTCACTAACAGTCTGAAAAACTACAGATGATGGACAAACCCCAGGGTGTCACAACTCAGGACAGGGAGTACAGAGCACGATAAAAAACAGCAAAGAACAGAACCCAAACATCACACTAACTAAGCATGCAAAAAATACTGATCAAAAACCTAAACCTTGTCCAAACGACAACCCTGTCAGAAGCCCATCAATACTTCATAACTGCAAGCCTAGACCTGCAAGAGAAATAAAACTCTAAATAGGATTCAAACAACTGGAACGTGTGAGAATTCAACGGGGCCGGTAAACACTAGTCTGTGAGAGATGGGAGGTGGGAGATGGTTACAGGAACAAAGAAAAGCACAGAAGTGTGCTTTTAGTCCAATTTGCTGAAATTACTTCAGTCCATATCTACTAAAACTCATTTTTAACAGCAACTCTGTGTTTAGTTCTTTCCATTCCTGTACGTGCTGAGCATTACCAAGGCAGCAGCATGGGAAGCTTTCCAACAGGGGACTGCAACAGACGGGTTGTGTGTGCACAGTGCCAGACAGATTTACACCAACTAGTGCTGGAGGGCAAGTCCACACCCCTTATCATTAGCACAAAGATCCTCCAAGCCCTGGGTCTGCTGGATAAACAGCCCAAGGAATTAGTATCTTCCAAAAGAGTTGGCCATGCAAGGACTTTCACTGCTCTAAAAGCAAAGACTAAATCTCTCTCACTACAGGACCTGAAAATTCCCCTTCTTCACATCCAACAGCACCAGGCTGTGCCCACACCATCTTTAAATTTCCTGCATGGGAAATTGGGTCCTGCACACCTTCCTTCTTCTTTCCTCAAGGAAGATGCAGTGAAGGGACATCAAGGAAGAGCTCTGCTTCTTGTCCCAGCTCTGTTCCTTGTCCCTCATGCCCCTCCTCTGTCTCCAAGCACCCACCTACCAGCAGGCTAGTTTGTATACTCTTTTAACTTGCTTTTATTCCACCAAATTCACACTCCACATTATATGAACAGGTCAGTCATGTTCAACTACTTCATAATATCTGAAGCCAAGGAAAGATCATAGACTAAAGACGAAGAGTGAGGGCAAAAAATGCCAATCAAGAATAACAACTGAAGCCTAGCTGGACAGGTTTTTATCTGAGCTTGAGAGAAACCTCTGGACCCTTACCCTCATCTGCTTTTGGGATTTGAACTCTCTTGTACCTTGAAATAAAAGCAAGATTCATAATGATCCAGTTTTTAATCTAGAGGGGCTATCTTATGACACTAGGCATTGAAAAATTCATATTATTTTTACAACTACTGATTAATTAAGCAAAGTAGAAGCTGATAAAAAACTTCATATTTTGAAAGGAAACAAGAACCCACATAAATATTTTTGCATGTTCACATATTGCTTTAAACTCTGAATTCCTCATGTATGTACATTTGGTATCTCAATATTTGGTGTTTAAATACCACAAACCTTTAGCCAGTTAATGTTTGATATCAAACATTATCAAGTATCAAAGATATCAAGATATCAAAGTTTAATCTGAATACTTATCAGGTTGGTCAAGTTCTAAAGAGAAACACATTCTGACATGACTGTAACCAGCAGAACAGAAGAAACAACTGCAATGTTGTTTCTTGCATCGAAATAACTATTAGAGCAAGAAAAAATAACTCATACCTGGCATGTTCCTGAACTCCAACAATCTCTACTTCGCTATCAGAAGAGGCAATATTAATTTCTTCATTGGCCTGGGCATTACCAGAAGAGGTTTTGTCACCTGCAAGGAAGCCTGGATCCAAACGACCTATGGATGGTGAAAATGGAAATACAGCCTATGTTTAACAGCTTACACAACTCAGAAGCCACTGGAAAAGGAGTTTCTCAACCTAACAACAAAAACAAACAAACAAGGGACTGAAACACTGAGACTGGAAAATCTTATTAGATCAAATCATTCAACTTCCAGTTCATCACCTGATACACTAAATTTAACCAGTGTCAAACAGCTCTAGTGATGGTGTTATGATACAAATGTGAACACAGACCGACTGTTCCTGATGCAATTAGAATTTCCAGATGCAATTTTGCAACAATGCTAAGAGTTAGATTGTGCTTAAATCCCTTTAACTTAAAAATACAAAACAATCTAACCAAACTCAATGACACTGTGGCAAACACGGCCTATATGCTGGACAGAAACATCACACACATGAAAGGAAATTAATTTATTTTCTTTTAATAGAAAACTAGGAGAAGCTGGTCAATGAAAAAACACAGCAAACCCATCAGTTTCTGGCTGTGCTGCTTCACACATCTGCTCTAACATTATTAAAAATATTTGAAAAAAAATCTGGTTTTCATTAAGTCCCATATACTACAGGGCTTTTTTAATTACAGTTCCTCCATGCTATCCAGTTCATCAGTCTGTCAAACAACAAAACCTCTCTAAATACAGCAAGTGTGGCAGGTTTTTGTCTTTCCTGCCAAGTACCCCTAAGAAGGTTCTGCACCCCAATTAGTGAAGCTGTGTTGAGTCATATTAAATAAAACTTGCATGGAAAACACAAAGCAGACAAATTTATTATTTCTTTCACAGGAAATAGATTTTTTTAAAAAATCAATTAATGAAAAGATTTAACTTCTACTCTTTTCTTTTTTCTTTTTTTTTTTTTTTTTTTTTTTAGGAAAAAGAGAAGACAATTAATTCTACTGTCTGTCATTAGCCTGGGGGGGGTGCTGGGCAGCCCTGAAGTAGGTGACACTACCAACTTCTCCGAAACCACTTGCTCAGCTGTTATTACACAGGGGAACAATCATTTGTCGTGCTGGCAATTTGAGAGGAGGTGAATATTTTATGTGTATCCAGTTCGAGTGGACACATCCTCAGAAGATGAGAGGAGGAGGAAGCAATAATGATCTGAAGGATTTCAAAGGTGTGAGAACATGCAGAACTGATTATACCTCCAGGCAGATCAAGGGGACAGAAAGAGAAGAAATTAAACTTGAAACAAGTGCCAGGGAAACCTTCTAATGACTGCTTTAAGCACTTGGAAAAGATGCAAATAGAATCACAGAATGGTTTGGCTTGGAAGGGACATTAAAGCTCAGCTCATTCCACCTCCCTGCCATGGGCAGGGACACCTTTCACTATCCAAGGCTGCTCCAAGCCCTGTCCAACCTGACCTTGAAAACTTACAGGGATCCAGGGGTAGCCACAGCTTCTTTGGGCAACCCGTGCCAGGCCCCACCACCCTCACAGGGAAGAATTCCTTCCCAGTATCCCCTCTAACCCTGCCCTGTGGCAGTGGGAAGCCACTTCCCATTGTCCTGTCACTCCATGCTCCTGTAAATAGTCTCCCTCCACCTTTCTTGTAGGGGCAGAGACTGTTGTAGGGGCTGTATGTTCAGTTTTTGGAAAGCCAAGACCCCCGGTGCAACATCTGATCAGGACTAGCAAGGGAAGGAAACCCATGTGCTGCCAGGTGCCTGAAGGGGTAATTTCCACGTCACAAGACAAAAAATGTTTGTCAGCTGAACTTAAAATGAATTAATAGCCCAGGCAGACTTTTCCTAACATTACAGTTCAGCTGAAAGTTTCTTGGCAAATATCACTGACTGCCAGAAAGCCCAAAAATGGGTCATGGCTATTTCTTTATTAGAAGTGGTTGGTCAGACAGTGAAACATGAAATGGGAGTGCTCAGAGACTTTGATTCATGTGCTGGTGCCTCCAAACTGTCAGAGGGCAGGGTTAGATAAGATATTGGGAAGAAATTCTTGGCTGTGTGGGTGGTGAGGCCCTGGCACAGAGAAGCTGTGGCTGCCCCATCCCTGGAAGTGTTCAAGGCCAGGTTGGAGAAGGCTTGGAGCAACCTGGGATAGTGGAGGGTGTCCCTGCCCATGGCAGGGGATGGAACTGGATGGCTGTAGTATCTTGTATTAATGCCATACCACCCTTCTGCACCTTCTTCTAGACAGGCTAATTTCTGACAGAGGGGTAAAGCAGAGCAGCTTTTAAACAGCCCCAAGAAGAACCCTCAGAGGTATAAAACTGTAGTCCCAAAAAGCTTTCATATATTACCATAATTTAAAGTTCAGACAACAAAAAGATAATCAGCAGTAGTGAAACCATGATTAGCAGAGTAAACATTGCAAGATTAGCTGATATAAATCAGGATTACAGCACAAAGACAGATTTACAGCCTCTGGCCATACAAATTTCATGCCTTATAACATGCCCACGCTGTTAATTTCTTTGCACAAATGTTGTGATGATGCCTGAAGTGATGCCTTGTTTGCCCTACAACACCAGGGCTTGCAAAACAGCCCCTAAATATTTGCCCATGCACAAAGATGTGATAGCACAGTAAGATTTTTCACTGAGATAGAGCTTAAGTTGTTGTTGTCTTCCCATGGGAACACATTCTTTCATGTCTGCTAAACTAGATGCTGGTTGAAGATTAAATTTGTGAACAAGGTGCAAGATTTGAAAATTCTGCTTTCCCAGTGTGCAACCCTAGACAGGGTAGGAAAAGGCCAGGACTGACAAAGGTGCAGTCAGATGTGTACAGAGGCTGCAGGGCTCTGGGACAAGGTGTGTGCAGGAGGAAAAAGAGATTCATCCTCTCAGCTGCTGACACGGCCAAGGCACCAGGACCAAATCTGTTTGAACATGTTCCCACAGGGCCAGGGATGAAGAAGTCTCTTAAAGTTTTCTAGTTTTCTTTTACAAGCTCTACCTTGCAAGTCCCCTTGGATATAGGTGGAGGAAGGAAGAAAAATTTGTACCAGCACTGCAGCATTTTAGGTGGAAAGTGGAAGAAAGCTGGGTAAGAAACTTTACTTTTTATTTCCTTACACTCCTTTGCAGTACCAATCCATTAGTGCTATATAATTCAGATGATTTCAGCTGTTCTAATTCTTTTAAAAATCACTTGATAGAGGATGGGGCTTGTTAGTGGGCAAGTAGCTGCCAGTCATCTGTTATCCTGCAAAAAATACCAATGAGCTTGGAAAACGTAGGTGAGCTTCAAAAAGGCTGGAACAACATCCAGTCAGGGGCAACAGTGAAAATAATGCACATGGATTCTCATATTTAAATTATGGACCTGTCAACTCCACAGTGCTGGAATATCTCTTTTAAAAAGCCACATATTTGTATTTCTTTAAGCCTTACAGACAATGAAAAGTATCTCAGAGCCACCACGACACTCCCAGTGTGGGTGCCCTGTGGCAGGACACATTTGGAAAACACAGCATAGAACACAAACCTGTTGTGCTCCACCATGGCAGGAAAGAACTGTGTCTTATGAAGCTAAAAATCCTGAGGTGGGTATTAAAATATCAAATGGAAAGGAAGGCAGTGTGTTGGCACACCAGGCTGTGGGATGAAGTCGATAGGAAATACTCCCTGGTGGCATCCAAAGCACAGAAACGTTTCACGTTGTTGTTTAAGTCTTTTGTTAGTGAAGAGTTACGAGCACTTAAGTGAAGCTGAACAATTTTTATGAGCTACATGAACTTCTCTGAAGTCTTCCACAGTACTCCTGCCCTTGCTTTCCTGAAGGGAATTTCTTTGCTCTCTCTAGATGCTAAGCCCACCTACCAGCATCTTTTCACCCTTCATCTTTACTTGATGCTGGGCTGTCCAGTTTTCTAAGGGATGTTGGAAATGCGGATGGAATATGGGAACAATTAATGCTCACATTTTAAAGATATAAAGAGATAAACAAAAATTAAAAGACATACACAGACAATTCCAAAATGCAAAATGAGATTATGACCAGTTGACTGGCTGGTGGCATGGGCCATCACAATCAATCATTCAGGAACGAGTTTAGTTCACTTTCATTTAAGAAAACTCCCAACAACAAAACCCCACACCTAAGTTTCCCATACTACTTAGAGGGAAAAGGAGGAGAAAAAAATAATTAAGAAAACTAGTGTCCAAAATACATTGCAGGAATCTTTGTCAATTTCTGTCAGTTTTATTTTGGAATAAATATCACACCTTTTTAATAAGCACCTGCCCTGTCTTCTCACAAAATTCACACAGGGAGCTTTCACAGCTGTATAAACTACAAGAATACTGAGAGAAAGAAAGGGAGAGACACCAGCTGCGATGCTGGAACAAATGTCAGAGGCAGAGAATTTAAACAAACCTGTGTCAGCACTCATTTCATCCAGCAGCCCTCTGGTTCTCCAGGCAGATCCCGACTCTTGACTATTGTGCTCTTGAACTACTGCAGCCGCCAAGAGATTGTCCACATTTACCACTTCTGGGTCCGAGTTTGTGTCTGATATATCATAGTGAGCCACAATGGGGGGTCCATCTGCAGGAGAGAAAAGCAGCACGGGTTAGAAGTGTGAAAGGCACCTCTGAACGTACAAATAATTTGTTTAAGGATTAATGCAACATCCTATGTGGAGCTCTTCCAGTTTATAGCAATGAATTATATGAATTATTAAACTTCGGTTAATGAACATAGTCTGGGATTACAGAGACATTTTAACTTTGGCATACACAGAAAACACAAGTGTAAGAGAAACACGTTTATCAAAGTATCGGTTATTTGCGTATTTTTTACATTAACCCATAAACATCTCCGTATCTGACAACATTACATTTACAATCTTTAAAAGATAAAACCTCCACTTTAAAATAAAAGATAAAAAGTTACAGGACATTAAATTTGGCAGACAAGGTATTTATCTAGAGAATTTTACAAAAGTCAAGTGACAGGTTACATTATTTTATTAGGGCTGACTGAATAAATCTAACATTTTCATATAGCTGATCCAGTAACAATAAATTTTAACATTAGGCAACTTTCCTTTCATAACATTTACCTGTCAAGGGCAGGGGAATTTTTAAAAATTGCAAATTTTTTTTGTGTTTTGTTTTGTTGGGTTTTCGTTTTGTTGGTTTTTCTTTTTAAGATCAAGAATAACAAGAAACAAAAATATATGTACAATGAGAAAATATGCTTTTCATTCAATAGGATTACCATATGCATTTTTGGCCACCATAATAAAGGAGGAAAGAGGGAGATAAAATTGCTTACGTGATTCTGAAATCTGTTCTTGAGGAATAACAAAAAGCTATTTTTCTATCTATTTTGTTAGCACCGACTAAATTCTTTGTGATGAATGAAAATCACTTATAATTGGAAAGCATACCAGAAACAGAAGAGGCTCAGAAAAAAACCAGGCAAATTCAAGACAAAGATTAATGTGAAAGCAGAGAGAATGGATAAATAATGCAATTCTGGAAGGATGTGGGTGTTTTAGCTCAAATGCCTTGCCCCAGCTACAGCTTATTGACTCAGAGTAGATGAAAGTGCCTGCAGTTCCCCATCCCCAAATGAGAGGATCAAAACTTTTCTTTGGGCCAAGGCTTCATCCACAAAAACAAGGATGAAACAGAAACACAGGCTGGGCCAAAGCTCAGCAACTTTGCTGCTGCAATTCTTTAGCCCCAGGGAGGTTCTGAAAGTTGAGTGCCCGTAGGACTTTTTGTGTGATACACGGAGGGTGTAACTTGTAAGGGATAACACAAAATAATCATAAACTAGGAATGTGTTCAGGAAGACCCAACCTTCAGAGTTACAAAGCGACTAAAGAAATCTTTAAAAGTCACAAAGAATAAAATGAAAAGCCTTCTCAGGAAAAAAAAACCTGTTTTCTTTTAGGAGAGGTAAGTGGCTGCTGAAGAGAGAAAGAACACGATGAAATAAAAGTCTCAAATTTAATTCTCTGAAAAGCTGTTCCTCCGAGGTTTTTTTTTAGGTTTGGGGTTTTTTTTGGGAAGGGGGTGTTTTAGCAGCTTGGTGCCTGAACTATAATTCAACTCACTATCTTCAGGAAAAGCCTATTTTGTGGTTAGCAACACATTTCATTAAAGAGCAACATATTGCTTAAGTCATACTAAAGATCAGTTTGGCAGCAAGGCACAAAGAAATTCACAAAACATTTCCGATCAGACCTGCCCCCAGAACAACAATTCCATGAAACGATGTTACATTACAAACTTAAAAACAGACCCGACAAAAATAAATGAGTAGTTAAATGCCAATGTATTTAAAGACCAAACTGTTCGCAACGTGAAACGCTGATGATCATGACTGGAACAGAAGCCCTGATAATTAACTGAAAGGCAATCTTTGTCTTTTTAAAAGGCAATTACAAAATAATGGAATACCGAGTTCAGAATTAAGCTGGCTGATGTTCAGTTAATTATTTGTGACAGCTGATGATTAAATTACGTGCAGGAGTTACGACCGGACTGAGTCATGAGAGGCATGTTTTCCTTCAGTCTTATCATCAGAGTTCAGCGTGAACATATATAATGTGAGCTATAAAAATAAACAGTCGAGTGCAGAAGATACGAGGGTCAAGTACAATATTGACTGTTTGACCATTTTTTTCAATGGGTTATCTAAAATTTCAGGAGCTCTGGACTGTTCCTTCGGGCCTTTGTTTCCTTCGCTTCTTACTCAGATCTCCGAAAAGCAGAAGCGAAAATTGATTTTTAGATAGACATGCCTAAACGAGTAAAATTTGTATTTAGACAAAAGGCACGAATAGTCTCAAGTCAAAATTGTACCACTCCTACATGTATAATCATGCAAAAATGTATAATAAATGTATATACATGCAGAGTGATATTCTCATCACCTACCCATAGAAATAACTTGTGTGAAAGTCTTCATCAGTAGGAAATACAAGCATAAACTTGTTATCTGTAGCTCCACTCTTGTATCTTCCACACTTCCAAACAGCACACCTTATAACTTAGCTTAAATTCAGTATACATCAAACAGACAAAAATATTTTCAATATGATTTACATACTGCAATTATATTTGTCAGCATAATAGCCACCAATTTAACAATCTGTGGGGAAAAAAACCAAACAAGCTGCCTATTTACGAAGCAGTCACAGCAGAGATCTACTTTTTGCTTTTCTCAGCCTTGCCTTCAGGATCAGATTTGGAAATGAAAGGCACTCGACTCTAGGTTTATCCATATCTATCACTAGTAAATTACCTACAAAGCCAAGATAATGGCCATGATGCTGCAACAAATCCTGGGATTCCCAATATTTATAAAAGAAAAAATAAGCTATAAATGCTTACATCTGTTTAAACAAAAAACAAACAAAAAAAACCCCAAACCCAATAAAATAAGTTGCAGACAACTACGACCAGATGAAAGTTGCAGTGAAAGCATATAAAAAAATATATCTTCTAAATCTCCTCTGTTTCCAAAAGCTTGTTTCTTTTTTGAGTGCTACATGGATGGGACAGGAGTGGCTAAATGTGGAAATAAGTAATACTTGCCTAACCAACTAGGTGATCCTCCAATGATGTGATGCAAAGTGAATGTGTGGTAGCAAAAAATAAGGACAACTGGTTTCAGCTAGGAAATAAAGTGAAAAAATGCTTTCAGGTTGAAAAAGTAAAAGGATTAACTACAACCAATGGTGTAATTCATCATCTTTTCTTTACAAAAGAGACACTCCAAATAATTACTGACTGTAACAGGATTTCAACAGATTAAAAAACAGACATCAAGACAAACCATGCCAGAACCAAAACTTAATGTAGAACAATTAGGAGGTTCCCTGGTCAGTAATTTAAACAATCTACTTAAGAAAAATTGCATCTTTTGAGAACCCAAGATAGCTGGAAGACATACATTTCCCTGGTGACAAGCATTAATTCATTTCTAAAGCAATAAATGCTTGAAAAAGGCAAGGCTGAAAGTTAATAAGCACCAACAGCAAAATACAGCTGTTGACATTTAATGCTAACAGGGGGAGGGAAAGTCTGCTCTTTTTCTTTATTTTTAAAGAATTCAGAGGGAGAGGTCATCATGGGGACAGCATTTCCAAGTGCCCAATTCTCCCTCAATTTACACAGCTCATCAAAACTAATTCCGCTCAGAACAACTGAATCAGAATTCACATGCACAAAAATCCATGTCTACACATATCAGCTTTCATTTTAAGCTTGCAACAGAGAAAATTCAATAATTTCTCATCTGCTACCTGCTCCCATGCTTTTCACAGAGCCACATGTCAGCACTCAGCAATCTAAACAACCTTGTAGGATCCACACTCCTGTCACCCTTTACTTCATTGTAATGGCAGCACAAGCAAAAAGGGAGGAATCAACCATAAAGTTTCAGCCTTAGTATCAACTGCACAGGAAACACAAGGTTATTAGCTGGCAGAACCTGAATGAGGAATTTAGTCCTTGAAATCTATGGAGGCAGGCTGGGAGAGCTGAGGGGGTTCGCCTGGAGAAGACTCCAGGAAAACTTAAGAGCCCCTTAAAGAGGCTCCAGGAGAGCTGGAGAGAGACTTGGGACAAGGGGCTGGAGGGACAGGACAAGGGGGAATGGCTTCCCACTGCCAGAGGGCAGGATAGATGGGACAGTGGGAAGAAATTCTTTCCTGGGAGGGTGGTGAGGCCCTGGCACAGGTTACCCAGAGAAGCCGTGGGTGCCCCTGGATCCCTGGAAGTGTCCCAGGCCAGGTTGGACAGGGTTTGGAGCAACCTGGTCTAGTGGAATGTGTCCCTGCCCATGGCAGGGGGGTTGGAAAAAGATGAGCTGTAAGGTCCCTTTCAACCCAAACCATTCTGTGATTATAAGCCATTATTTCTCTTTAGCTTTCTTACTTAGTCATGCAGTGCTGAGCTCATCACCTAAACTCCCACCCGCTGTAGCCAGAGAGAAGAACTTCAGCCAGGTAATCCCATCCTGGAAACTGCAGCCTGGAGCATCTCCATCTCCCCTGCTTCCCCAGCAAACAGAAAGAGCTTAGGCACCGCCTTACCCAAGACACCTCACTTTTACAGTGCTCAAGTTTGGCAAGCTGAACTTCTGCCTTAGGATTTAAACTTTGCTATGTTTCCTCTACAAGTAGTGGAAGAAGACTGAAATCTCCAGAGGACTATCCCGGTTAAAATAGTTTTGAAATTAAAAGCCTAATTTCTGTGGTCTGAATTGCCCTCTGGAGTCATCAGTGACTCTTGCAAGGGAAAGACACAGAGCCATATTTAGGTGTGAGTATCACCCCAAGCTTTAAGACACACAGAACAGGTACAGTTATAACAGCAGCAATAATTACAGCACCTTGTTCTTACAAAAAGCTTTCCATTAGTGGACCTGGAAGAGCTCCAAGGTGGTTATTAACCTCCGTCCACCCACAGGGGAAACTGAGGCAGGCAGAGATCTGCAGCTTGCTCAAGGCTAACAGGCAGAGGAGCTGGGCTTTGCTGAAAACAACACTCCCTTCCAATTACTGAGCTACTTTTAAGTGGTGG